ACAAAATATAATTGTAAATATTTTGTAATTAATTTAGAAATCTTACTGATACGATGGGACACCCGATATATATAACAATATAACTTATATTAATTCCTTGTACAAGTACTATACAATCAATGATTTTTAAAAAATAATAAACATTTATCTCTACCAACAGGTGATGAGCACTGTATGAAAGATACATTGGCTACGAATACAACAATCAATTATAGCCACAAACTGTTGCCCCCATTTCTAGCCACCGGTTCCCTTCAGATATTGGGTGCGATTATGATGTTAATCATGTATTTGTGTCACAAATATATTCCTAACACTCAATCGCAAGACAAACAAACCAATGAACAAGATATTGAAAAACCTGTTGAACCCATATATCGGCGCCGATATAGCGTACACATCATCGAAGATAAGGGTCCTCATTGGAAAAACGGTTTGTCACCTGCCGGTGCTGAGGGTCACAATTTAGGAGCAAGGTTGTCCACACAATCGATTGAATTGAATACTACTGCACATAATAATAGGTATAATAAGAGGTTGCGTTCATCACAACGAAAGAGACGATTCTCGACGTTCCCAGTGATGGACACACCGGACATACCCTTACAAGTGGAGCCGTCGGGTGCGTCTCGTTTGCTGGTCATAGGGTTGGGTGCCGTGTGTTTCTCGTCGATACTGACCTGCGAGGCGGCATTCCTTGACTTTTCGCCCACTTTTTTCCGATATTACTCCAACGCTAAGGGTATTTGTGTTTGTGATCACACTTTTATACAATTCAAACAAAATATAATTAATTTTGAATTTTTACAAATAGGATACCAAACGGCAATACTGTTGACAATCATGACATCGTCCTATACCCTAACGCGCGCCTGTAGTATATACGTGGCCTATAGAGTGCGCCCGCAATACATACTATCCGTTCATTACGTGATTGTATTCACGAGTCTAGTCCTCCTATCCTTTGCAAACCACAACACTATAGTCATGTGGACGGGAAATGTACTTTTCGGTCAGTCCCTTATAATATGCATTTCCTATCTTTAGTAGTATTAGTATGAATTGTATGTCAATGGATGTGTGTCTATAGGCATAGGGATCGCCACCTTCTGGTCGGCCACCTTCTCGTACATCGAGACCTACTTCGAGGTGACGGACAGAATCGGCACAATATATGTGTCTCTTTTGGGTTTACTGGAGATCATAACCCAATTCATTGAGGGACCCTTCCTCGAGGACAACCCCGAAGTCCTGCTATACTATTGCGGTTCAATGGCCGCCACGAGTCTCACGGCTTTCATATTGATTACGATTATTGCAAATAAGGCTCATTTGAAACTCAATCACCAGAAACCACCCATAAGTCAAACAAATAGTAAAAACTGTTTGTGTTTTAGTGATACAATTGATACAAGGATTTAGATAAATAACATTATTTCTAAAAGTAGATAAATATACCATGGTCCACAGATATAATAATCATGGTTAAGCATTTTATATATTCAGTAAAATTATAATTATCTAAAATAAGTGATTACAAATAATGTTTATATCAATATAATAACTAATATTACTATTTTTAAACTTTACAAAAACAAATACATGTATTACCTATGTTAATAATGTTAATATAACCACCATAATTGTTCATTAAAAATTTGTTTTATTAAAAAATATGAACTTTTAATTAATAACAATCGGAAACTCGACAATTTAGGTAAAAACTATTTAGATTTATCATCACACAATCACTTACTTTCCATGTTATCATATAATAATAATATAATAATATTAATAATATATTTTAAGTTATATAAATAATAATGAATGTGTATCGTACAATTTATGTAATACATTGGATTAAAATAAATGATACTATAGTCATAAATCTTTTGCAAATGAATAATAATAGAGATTTGATGTAAACGGTAAACGTTTTGTATTATCATTAGCGGTATTAATATCTTTTATAAGCCGTTTACTTAGGTATTGAGGTTTTAAACTCATATTTCGATAAACTTGGAGATTTTGGTGATTTATTCTCAGTGTCTTACCATAATACCTGTCCGGGTATACTTTTTGATAAAACTTTTTAATTATTCTGCGATTTGATATGCTTTCCCATATAAAAGCCATTATCGATATGAATAATCCGCAATTAATTAGTATATAATTCCCATAAAAATGAGCCATTGTTAATCCCTGGGCGGTGTGGTGGGATTCATCACGTGGTTTGAAACCATGGTGTAAGGCATCGTTGTTGAGGAATAGGGCCTCACTTACAAAGTTGTTGTATATACCAGATGACAGAAATTGTTTCACTCTAATTACAATTGACAAATAAAATAAATTCATATTGCAGTATTTTAATATTTTACAAAAATATTATCTAGATAAATATTTATTTAGCATGACATATCTGATAGACCAAAATGAGCTGACTCTCTGAAAAAAATATTGCTTTTAGGCGGCGTGCACAAAGTACATACGCACTGGTAGGGGGGAGGGGGGTCATGCCAAA